TGGTTAGGATTCTGTTGTAGTTCATTTATTTCCAACGAAACTGTCAATACTCCTGTGTTAGTGGTATTTTTACTGGCATTGGTGGAAAGAGACATTTGGTATTTTTAGGTTCCATTCAGCTTTCTGGTTGGCTTTGCAAATCTGACTTAAGCATATGCTCTGAGTAAATCTGGGCCTTGAACCTGGTAGTGTTGCTTCTTAAAATCACTAGCTCTTGAAATAGCTTTTGTTAAATGGAAGTGTTTTCCAGGTACCAAGCTTCCAACTCTAGACTAGCAAGGTTTTTTCTTTTCTAGCTGCTGTAGATGTTCATGTCAGTAATGTGTTACAGTGAACAATATACACTGCTACTTGTTTTGAAAACCTGTTTTCTCTCTATATTTTCCTGTTCTATAAAAACTTTTCCCCTTCTCTGCTTTCTTTTAAAAGCTTGGAGTCTTTTTATAAACAGTGCATAATGATGTGTACACCTTTTATTTCCTCTCTTGTGTTGAACTCCTGATAGTCGAGGAAAGTATAGGATTCTTTTGGTAAACCTTAGACAATTAAACAATGCTGTCTCTTCTATAAAAGTATTCAGTCTAAGTTAATGGAACAGATCTTTTTTTTTTTTTTTTCCTTGTTGGATTTGTACTTAAAATTGAACAGTGAAGCTTTATGAGAAAACTTGTACCATCTTCTTGAATGCGTTTAGAAAGCCCATTTTTAGAAAACTGCAGTTGGCTACTGTGGATTAAGTTAAATGGACTTTACAACTTCGGAATAAACATTGTTATTTATTATCTGAAATAGATGGTGTGGCCAGACTGACAAAACAGTGAAACTTAATCCAAATGAACCTAATTACGGCAGAGATAATAAATCAAAGTAGTGAATGACAGTGTTGTTATGAAAATGATCAATGCTGAAGCTCAGCATTTGTATATGTAAGTCTGATCACTGAACATGTTACTTATATGCAGGTATAGTTTGGTTGTAGTTATGTACTACTCCAGAAAAAAATACTGATTTTTTTTTTTTTTGAAATTACATTTAGAGGTACTTTTTTTTCCTAGTTCAAAATACTTCTGCTTTGATAGAAGTCTCTGGATGTATTCAGAATTTAAGAAGCTACTACTATAATTTGATGTATCGTTATGCACTGATGTGTTTAGTTGAATCACTTTGGTGTGAATAGAACAGGAGGGTGGCACAGGAAGTAGCTGATGCTTTGTATCTCTATTTGATGTGTCTCTGTATGTGAAATAAACCTATTTTGAACACAGGACTGCCTATCTAGTCAGATATGAACCATCTGGTCTGAAACTGAGTATGGAGGCAGTAGACACTGTATATAGTAGTCACTACTTTTCTCTTGGTTAGAGCCTGCTGTTTGAGGGATGAGTGAAGATGATGTGAAGGACCTACTCAGTTCAGTGTTGTCTGAGCAAGAGAAGGCTGAGGAAATAGGTTCATCTGAAAAAGTAGCAGGGGATCCATGTCTAATCATGAGTAGAAGGAAGAACAGATGAATGGCTGGAGCACTTGAGGAGTGAGTTGTTGCTAATATATTTAAGCAGAAGTTGAATCTGATACTTCAGATGCTTCTTCAGTGTTAAATGTTTTGGAGAGTCATTGAGAATGAGGTTTTGTATCATTTTAGTGGTCTTGTTGGGTTCTTAGCTACCAAGGGGAAGTGCAGTGGTGGGTTTCAGATGAAAATTTTGATTTAAGACTGAGGAAGAAGACCAAAGTATCGAATACATTAAAGAAGTAAATTCAGCAAATTTTTCACCCTAAGATCTTGTGCTGTAATCTCAAGGATTGTGGTAGTACCATTGTTCTAGTTTCAACAGTACAATGTGCTGAGTCTAGTAGCCTTTAGTTTAGTGATCAACTCAGTTAACTGCATCATATATGAATTCATTCTCAATATTATTACTGCTGACCTTTACATCTGACCTTACAATTAAGTTGTGACATGAAGAAATCTGGACTTTTGGGTTCAGGGACTTCATTCTGTATTCTGACAATATCTTCAAGTAGTCTTCATAAAGTTGGGAAGAATAGTGCATCTCAGGCTTCTTGGTTTGGCACGCTGTAAAGATGACTTTAAAAACCAAAGGGTATTCCTGTATATTTTTTATTTGCTGTACATTTCTTATTTGCTGATAGAACAGTTCCTGTAATTGCCACTGTTTCCAACATTAGCTAAATCCATGAATGGATGGCAGTAAGATAAACACAAAGGTTGCCTTGCAGGTTATGAATAATGTTGCTGTGGCTGTATTGCTCTAAGGATATAAACCAGACAAAGGTTTTATAAGGAGAGGCAATATCTTTTATTAGAACAACTGCTGCAGTGGTGGGGAACAGGACACGAGCGAGCTTTCAGACATTCAAGAGCTGAGTTCCTGAGAAAGTTATTCAATTCTTTGGAGACACCATGTGGAGATTTTGTACTGTGTGGATTGTTGCAGGCAAGTTGCAGATACAGGTAAATGTTGTTGTGTGTTTTATTTTTTATAGGCAGCTCACAGTTTTGATATCTGACCTAGTATCAATATTTGGTGCAATTCTTATTTCGAAGAATAAGAAATTAGGTTCTTGAAAACAGATAAGAAGCTGTAGAATACTACTTAAATTGCTATTTGTTTTTGCATTACTCTGCAAAGATGATGTCTGCATAAAGGAAGTGGAGATTGCATTTCAGAGAAAAATGTCAAAAAGTAAAACTGAAAATACTTTTCAGATGTTACTGTTCTGTGTAAAGTATGAAAGGTGTATATTTCTTTGAGTCATCTGACTACTGGGACTCACTGGGAAAAAAAAAGTAAAATGCTTAGAGTGCCTTGTTTGAAGAGCCCATCTGTGTTATTTTTGTGGGGACATGGTCTTGGTCATGAGTGTGACTTGTGTATAGTAAATCTGTAAGATGCAGGTAAAAGTGGATTGCACTGCAAGGCTTGCATCTTTAGACATGACTAATGCTTAATAATGCTTAATAGTAGGATTTTATTTTTGCCCTGTTGAAGTCCCTAGTTAGTCATCGCAGGATAGAAGAGTGTACAGTTAAGCCAATTCTGAATACTCTGAATATCTTGCCTTCATGTGTATTCTTTTCTCAGGGCAGATGGGTGCAAAACAAGAAACCTCTCTTGCACTCCTCCCTGCTCCAACAATAAAAAGAGAACACTGTTCCTGATACATACTGTTAACCTCTGTGTGCTGCCTGTGTAGGAAAGTGTTCATTTGTTTAGGATTCCCAATATTTGATGCATGGTCTTCACCCTATGATCAGGTATCTGATTTCTGTGTGGTCTGTTCTGTGGGTCACTAGTTGTGAGTAAAGAGGAGGAGAGGTGACTCTATGGTATGAGAAATCCTTAGCTGTTTTGAATTGGAAAGTGTTTGTAAACGTGTTCATTAATGGTGTGCTTTACATTACCTAGGCCTTATATAGTAAGGCTTTTGTAACTTTTTTCCTTGACTTGTTCTTTTAAGTAAATTGCACATATTTTTAAAGTGATGTTAGGATGAAGACTGAGCTGTTGGTATAACTCTTAGGATGTGTTCAGGTTTGGTGATTTATATAGTGGCAATCTCAGTATTCAACATCCATATATTTGAAATCTTGCATTTTTTCCTTCTGAATTCAACTGGGCTCCCTGTCTTCAAGTATGGTTGCAGTTGGGGTGGGTGTAGGGACTCACCTCAAAGCTCAGTCATTAGATATTTTTGTTGTAACTCTCAGGGAACTTACCATGGTCTTACCTGGGAATGGGGAGAGTGTTCAAAAAAAAAAAAACCCCCAAAAAAACCCACCACAAAACCCAACCAAAAACCTCACCAAAACCACTGGGAGTAGCAGAAGAATCTCCCCAATTTTAGTGTAGCATATTTTCGTATAACTTATAATGGCTGTATCAATCTATCAATTTCCCAACCAGTTAAGTGATCATAATTTTCCTGTTCTTTGGGGAAGGGGGAGAGATTTTACGCAATTCATACTGTCTTACACAGAACTTTCTCTCTTGTGAAGAGGAACACCGTTTAGATGTCCACATACAGTGTAGCTTCAAAATTCATAACAATTTAAGTTTGAAGTAGTTTGGGTTGATGCTGACTTTTGTTTTGTAAAACAAAACCAGCCCCCCAAACACACACACAGATACACCACAAACAAAACAAAGCAAAACTATTTAGAAAGTCATAGACTTTCCTTCTATAATTTGAGAGCTTTCATTTTTTTTTTACAAAATATGATGAAAATCTGTTATAAAATGATGAAACCATTCCACTCTTCAGAATGGAAATTCTATGCATTTAAGAACTTTTTCTTGGACATCACTATAGAATTAAAATGTTGCTGGCCATATGCACTGTAGCAAGGATTTTTTTGTCAGCAGCACCATACCCTACAACCATTGAAATGTACGGAATCATTTTAATGTAAAACACAGTAAGTGTCGGACACAGCATCTTTGGTTAGAGCGGTGATGAGGATCATGTTTATGCCATGGATGTTCTGTTTCTCAGGAAGACTGGGGTTAATTGTAGCTTGGCAAGTGAAAAAAAAAAAAAAAGTTCCATATTGTTTTTGTGCAGTAGATTCCTGTTGCTATGCAACAAACAGAATGTCACTTAGTACAGGATATATTAAATTTGTATTCCCGGCACATATCTCTGCACGTTCATTTTATACGTTAACGGGAGGGTATGGTTCTGACTTCCTGTAGGACTGTAGTATGAAGTATATATTTGAGTTTCTATTCTGGTGCTTGCTGTAGCTGCGGTGACGTCAGTGCACTTGCAGAGCCTTTCTTTGTTTTCAGAGGGATGGGACACCTGTGCAACACAAGCAGGCTTCCAACCAGACAAAAAGGGGTGGTGGTTATCTTCCCTGAGGTGGGATGGTATTGCCAAGCAACATATTAAGATTTCAAAAGGGAGAAATTTCTTGTATGGAAAAAAATCTTAGGCTATGAATTCTGAAAACCTTTAAATATGATGCAGAGAAAGTTAATGCAGATGGCACTATATGAATATTTAAACCAAAAGATCCAGTTAATTTTTAGTGAATAGAATTAACTTTGATATTTAAACATGTTGATACCTCCCCTCCCTATCTCCCTGCTCACCCCTTCCCCCCCCTACCCCCATGCTAAAACCAACCAATCTCAGCATCTAAACTCTTTACATTCATTCTACGTGGATTCTGGAATAAATGTTTAGGGCGTGTTTGGAAAAATTACCTTCTATGCCTCTGGAACCAGTAATTAAGTAATGGACAAAAGACAACATCTGGTAAGGCATTATTTTATAATCTAGTTAGACTTCCATAGTGGAAAAGAAGGGAAAAATATTTGAAAGCTAGAAGGATGTTAATTTGATCTTTGCTTCAAAGGCTGTCATGCGATATAGATGCCTGAAATACAGAAACTTGAAAGCTGCAGATTTTTAATACTGTGCTTTTAAGAATAAAATGCATGCATTATGTCTTACATGCTATGACGTTTATCCTATATAATAATCCGTCTTATTTTAAGCAGTTCTCTGAATTTTGTTGTGGATTTTGAATGCCAATTTACAAAATCTAAGCTGAAATTAAGTTAGATGCTAAAATTAGCAGGTCAAATACCGCCACTTTTTCTGGTCTTAGAACTAAAATATACTATTGTCTAACATCTCTTTAAATTGTCAGTCTGAAGCAGATTTACAAGTAGCTTGGTTTTTTTAATGTTAGTTGTAAATTTACTTGTGTGGCTTCTTAATGAAGCAGAAGTCAAAAGGAAGAGTCAGAAAGAAGTTCAGAAAGATTCAAACCATTTTTCAGTACTGTTCTCTTGCTTGTTTTGCTGAGGGGGTGCCTCTAATATATAAACCATCATTAATAGAGCAAGCAGCCTTTAATAATACAGTTTTCTTTCTTGTAGTTTGCTGCTTAATTCAGAGCTCAAATGCCAGAGCGTTGCATGCCTGTTCTCAAGCAGACCCAATAAAATTGGTTTCTGTGTACACAAAGAGAACCTGATGCAACCTAAAAAAATTCTTATGGCATTCTGTATTTGGTGAGATCAAACCTGAGCTCTGTTACAGAGAAATGATTTAAAGACAAGGGTGGGGGATGCTTGGGGGTTTTTTGCTCTCTGTTCTGGGAAGGTGAATCTTTGTTTCTGTTGCAGAACTGTTTGGTGAGAATGAGAATACTGCCTGTGGCTTTCAGTGCTATGATGACTTGCTTTAATGGTATCTTTTGGCACAGGAAACAGTGGAAATTTTAAAACTGCCTCCTCTTCTTGAGGAGGGAGGCAGAACATAATTTAATTGTGAAGCTAACAGTTTTATCTGTAACTTCAGTGGAATTAATTTATTTTAATGTGTAGAACGGAGAAGTTCTAGAATATGCACAATAAATTGGGAAATTTGAGATGTAAGTTATAAGTAGTGTGTTGGTAGGCTACTTAGGTGAATCTTAAAGGAACTCAAAGTGGAAAATGGATGTTGTAGGACAAAGAGCTTTTAAAAGTTAAATGCTTTAAAATACTAACCAATTTATTTTATCTTCAAGTGTCTAAACTACCCCTCCACTTCTAAGTATTTGGACCCTAAATCTAACTGTAATGTTTCAGGAGTGATCTGTTAATTTCTATTATGTAGCCCACCCCTCTCCCTTTTCCTCCAAACTGGGTAACAGCTATGATTGCTGACAGTATCCAGGGCTAATGAAAATCTCCACAGAAATTTTCCAAGTATAACTTTGGGATGAAGAAGCAAATGATTGACAGCAAAAATTAATAGCTAGGAATAAACACTATTTAAAATATTTTTTTTCCTTTTGTTCCCTCTAATCTTTTATTCCTTTTTACTTTGAGGGGTTTGTACTGTTGTACTTCAGAGTATAATGAAGTAGCCATGGAAAATGATCAGAAGGTGCAGCAGGTAAAGCAACAATCCATTTGCTTGTTAATGGTTGCCAGATGAAAGTAACCAGTGTATGGGTAGTGTATATTGTTTTGTTTGTTTGTTTTTTAGCTCAGGAGTTATGCTGCTATAAATAGGGCTACTGCAAAACAGTCAGCTTTTCATATCCATCATCTTCTTCCAAAATTGAAATTAAAATAGGGGCAAACTCTATAGATTTGTTACGAGTAGTCCAAAGTTCTGTTTGGCTGTTAAAAATAAATTAATATGTATTTTATGTATGTGTGCTCAGTCACACTAGTCTACCACTTCTTGGTTGTTAATACCGGTATGCATACACTATATGCAGAATTATGTAAAAATGATGTTGAAGCATGTGAATGATTATATGCTATTTTTCATCCCCTACAATAGCAGCTGGATTCTTGTTTGCAGAAAGAATTAGGTTGTGGTTTGAAGGCTCCTTTTTTTTGCTTTTAGGTTGTTTTTCTCTGTTGCAGAGGTTGGAAGTCTCTAATGAGTGAGGTAGGGAACTGCTTGAAGAGAAGGTGATTTCATTGTCTCAGCTCAGTGTTTTCTGCAAGAACTGACTGCTTTTTGTTTTTCAAAGAATTTCTGTCCTTTGGTGCTGGTTGATTCAGAGTTGTCAGGGATGTTTCTTAGCTATGTCTTGACTTGTTTTCTTATTGACTAGCTTAAGACTGTGGGTCTGATCTGTCAAAACATTACATTTTCCAGCATATACCCTAGTCCTTCAAAGCACAGAGAACATTAAATGGCCACTGGAGACAAAGGGCCCTAGTTCGTCTTGGATTAAATGGTCAACATCCGAAGACTTTGTACAGCAGTTACTGTGCTTCACTCTATAACGGAGGAAACAACTTCCCACCTGTTTCTGCCTTAATTTCCAACTTTTGCTAATTTCTCAAGAAAAGTATTTTCAAGTTTGAAGCTCTCAAATGCTGTGTGTTATGACACAGTGCTTAAACCGTGAATAACTTCTGAATTCTGTGTTCAGAACAAATTTTCATTAATGTACAAAAAATGTCACTGCACTTTGAAAAAACGAAGAAACCTATGAGCTGTTCATTTATTCCTCAGCTCATCTATCCTAAGTCAGAGGTAGTCTGAGAAGAAAGGTGGGAGGGACGAGAGGAGTAAGTATATAACTAAGACTTTTTAATCGTTTTACAACCATAAGTCACTCCTTGCTTTCATAAGCAACCAGAACTTTTAGTTGTTCTTAACCCTTGCACTTTTTTTTTTAACTCTGAAGGTTATATTACAGTTTAATGTCTCATGTTCTTTAATAATTGAAATAAGCAGCCAAACATAATGTGCCATGATATTTGAAATACACATAGATTTGGAACAGCTAGGTTCTCAACTGCATGTGCTACCTAAAATCAGTTTAACTCTTGGTAGTTCCTGTCCTGCTGGTAGAGCATGCGTGTGAAGGCAACTGAAACTGTGATTACAACCATGTGTCCTTACCAGAGAGGAACACAGTAACTCCAGGAATCTACCTTCTGCTTGTACTCCGCTTAATGAGTAACTTCAACCAAACTAAGATCCATCATATTTATCTATCAGTTTTTATGACAGGACTAGGAAGATCTTTGAACACTTAGCTCATTGTTCCAGTGTTTTGTGTGAGTTAGACCACGTGGATTTTTCTGAGTATGCTTTGATTGGTCTATGTTGATCTCTCCTTTACCATATAACTAAAAGACAGGTAATGTTCACCTGTCTTATATAATGGGACAGTTCACTTAGGTGACTCTTTTTAGATAGTTGGAGGTGCAGCTGTTATATAATGAATGATGGAATGGGTCACTTCTATGTGTTTTGGCTACGTGGCAGATACAGGCCTGGTTATTAAGGAGGGAGGTATTGTGGTACCCTCTGAGCAGTAAGGAACAGGTTTTTGAAGTAACTGTACATGTTGTCTGGCTGTATCTTGGGAGGCTCTGGGGAAAAATGCCAGGGAGCAGTCTGGGCAGACAGATTTTTCTTTCAGACTCTGGTCTGTAGACTGGAGTTTGGGCACCTCAGTTAAATGTATCTTTAATCTGAGATGGTATCACCTCTATCAGGAAACTTACTACCATTCTGAATTGTCTTTGGAGTTTTTGTCTCCTTATGTGATTTAAATCTATCTTTCTGTATATTGAGGCTTCCATACTCACTAACTGTGGACAGCAGATAACAGTTTATTCTCTTTTTTGAAGCTACGTCTAGTGTATGTGAGGGTTTATGTTTCTCCTAAGTCTTTTCAAGATTAAAATCACCAATTTCATCAGTCTTTCACTGTGGGTTGTTTTTAAGACCTGCTAGTTGTTACTCTCTTCTTGGTCTACATTATTTGGATGCCAAGACTGATTGTTGTCTAGTCTGGCATGTACTGATTTATATCTGTTCATTGGAATATATCTAAATGTAGACATGAACTTTTTTTTTTTTTCTCCAGTCAATTTTCCAGTATGCTGGTATTATTCAGGATTGTCCTTCTTTCAGCTTGCATCTTTTTTTGGGCTTCTGTCTTCTCTGATGAAGGCAAGCCTACTCTTCCATCTCTTTATGGTTCTGCTGCAGCACAGGCATTACAAAACTGCACTTGGTATATTTTCTCTGGGTGTAGCACTGGTAGCTGCTGTGTGAATATAGTTTTCAAAATTCCTTTCTGCTCTCCTGAAAGTAATTTTTGTGTATATGTTTCTTATGAATATGCTCCATAAATTCTGACAAGAAACAAGTCATACTACAGCATCTGCTACTTCTCTACGGTAATTAGTGTAGGACTCCAGAAGACCTAGAGGAAAATAAACTTACTTGACATTATTAATTAGTTTTTAAGTAATGTTGAATATATATTTGTTATCTGTTAGCAGGTTTTTACTAATAGTTTGCGGTGCTGTTTTTCTGAGGATTCAGGTTAAACATAGGATCTTTATAAACTTGACAACTTGCTTGCTTAACTATTCAGAGCCTCGCATCCACTCTGAGAGGTAGCCACTGGGCCACAGGCTTCTGCAAATCTGATTGACATCCCTCCATGGTCTCAGGCTCTGTACACTTGCTGAAAATACAGTGGTAGTAATTTCAGGGGAAATTTTGCTGGGTCCTTCTTCAGTTTGGAATGGAATCTCTTCAGCGTAAGCCCAACAACTGCAATCTGATAACTGAGGTTTGTAGCTGTGACATTCAGGGTTTTCTCCTGGGGAAAAAATCCATAGTAAATGCAGACACAAAGCATATAAAAAAAAGTAATCTGTTGTGGTTGAAGCTTGCCAATTTTTACACAGTTGAAAACATGAATTTTGTAAAAAGCAGCATGGAGCAATCTTGCTAGCATCACTCATAGTATTGCAGAGAAAAGACTG